TTCGACTTTAAAAATGACGACTAATCAATTATAGAATAGTTGCAGAATCTGCTGTTGATCGGTTCATACTGGTAACCTAAAACCAGTGGTTCCCCAGAGGAACGCAAGATAAATCGGAGGAATCATAAAATGAAGATCAAGATAGGAAAGCAGAAAAACTAAATATCTGCTGGACAAAATTTTCTTTGCTTTTTTATATGACTTTAAGGGTAATTTTACATCTCTGGGCCTTTAAAGGTGAAAGGAAGGTGATTTAAAGGGATTTTTTGGGTTGATTACAAACCAAAAAAGTTGGGAACCAATGGCCCAAATTGCATCCAATGATGTGGTTAACAGCTACTTTCTTCCATCTTTATAGGCAGGGAAATCAACCCTTGTCCTTTTTTGGAAACACCAATAATCAATTTCTAATTTGTAATGTGCTAATAAAGAAGCTGATTAGTGACACATTTTGGTCCCACCTACAGTAAAGTGCACTGCAGCCTTAAAAATAATTCCTGTTTCATTCATGCTGTTTTGGTCATCCTGAAACTGTTTGTGTGTGTTGTGGATCGATGGAGATTTGATGAGAAATCTCAGACAGATTTGAAACTTTAGAGACTAATACTGAACTTATATGACTTTTAAAAGCGGTGCCACTCTCAAAGGGTTGACAAAAAACATCTTTTAAAACTTGTAGAAACCTAATGATTTGTGGGGACTGTGTGTTTTAAGAAATGAAAGTGCTTTGTTTTACTGAGCACCCGTTTACACTTGGCTCCAAATACTAAGTTTTTCTTTTTAATTAAAGGTGTCAAATGGGTGTCAGCTCCTGTCAAGGCCATATGGGGGCATATTAGATTAAAAACCTACGCTCACACAAAATAAGGTGTAGCCTACAATAACAGGCCATGAGATCAAGTTGTGCAAAGGCAGGTCCCTGTGTCCTCGCTGTGTCTGAGGCAAGTGGCAGAAAGCAGAAGTAAAAGTTAAGGCAAGCTGATTTTGCAAAGGCCTGAGCAGCTGCGCTTTTCTGCTACACAAACAACGGTGCGGTTTTCACAGCTCGGAGGCTGGCAGCACGCAGGCCTCTGCAGGCCGCAAACACACAGACAGGCCCGTTAGAGCGGCTTCACCTCACAGCCTGTGTGAGCGGACATTGTAGAGTTTAAACACTGCAGCGCCTCCGTTTGTCCACTTCGTTTCTTTCTGGAGAGGTTTTGTTGCTTTTTTGACTTTTCTTTTTTTTTGGTCCAGGGAACGGAAATGTGTGCGGAAAGTCTGAGGTTTGAGACAGGAAGCCTGTTGAGTTCAGATAACGACACCTGACAAGTGCTCCCGTTTGCAGCTATAAATTACACTTAAAATAACCTCAAACGCACAATCTGTCTGCGACAGAATTCAAGAGAATAAGTATCTAAATAATAATAAGTACGTTTTACCAACGAAGAATTACATTTCTGTGCCAGAATCGAAACAGCAAACACGTTTGAAAATTCTAAATTTATGATTTTGTTTATTCATGAAGTTTTTGTTTGACGATATCCTCATGCTCAAAATTATACTGCGTTGTCCCTTTTAATTACCCCTCCTTTATCTTAACAAAAGAATGTAACTGAATCTATTATCGTCCAACATGCACCAGTGTGTGTGTGTGTGTGTAAATATATATTTGTTGAAGTAAAACGAGAGAAATGAGTAGCTACAATTATTAGTTCCTCAATCTACTGAGGCCCCTTTTTTTCAAAAGCCTTTTTAAACTGGTTTTACTAAAGGCTGAATCCCACATTTATCCTGGTTGAAATATCAAGTAATTCGTAATAAATCGTTTTTAACAAGTTAGGACTGTCGATATTGATATTTCGTCGAAATTAGGAGAAAATACTCAAAAGGTTGCAAGAATAAGTTGTTGCAGAAATAAATTAAAAAATAAAATAAAACCCTCCAGGCCCGATGTGGCATATCAGACGCACATTCGTTCAAAAATTGCATGGATTTCTATTTACGGCCCACATCAGCAGATTAAAACATGTTTGCCTTTTCCCTCATTACGCAATAATCAGTTTTCAGTGTTAATTTAATTTTTTTTTAAAGTCGATTTGAATTGCGGACGTGGAGGCCTTTATTTCTGCGTTTCTTAGAAGGTGAGATATGGAAACAATTAACGGCGTTGTGGTCGTCAGGAGAAGATAAACAGGTGTAGCTGTAATAGTGAAATACCAGTCATCTGATGGAAACGGGTCCTGCTGTCTGAAAGCGGCTCTCACTGTATCCAAACCGATCCATGGCGCCTTCAGGGACACCTGCCTTGTGCGCACCAAGAAAGTCCTGCATCCCTTCATTAACTTACTCTTCGTTGAACAAAAATACGTTTGTCAGTGTTCAATAATTTCACTTTCTGCGCCTTATTTTTGTTGTTGCTGTTGCGGTTCCGTGGACAGTGCCAGATGAGCTCGGTTGAACAAAGCAATTTTTAAAAAAAAAACGAAAGGCGTGCGTTTGGAAATCCTCTTTTACGCGTCTAACCGGCCACCAATTTGTGTTTTTATCTGAGTGTAAAGATGGTAGTGGTTAGTTGTGTTATTATAGAGCCGACATACAACCACGAACGGGAAGGAAGAGGAAATTTTGTACAAGAAGGAAAGAGTGGGGAGCTCGCATCACCGCCTTGACTCTCTCACTCAGCAGACTCAGGGCTGGTGTGGGTGGCCGCCTGTCATTTTCACCGCCAGCAGCAGCGTTAGAAACAAATCAAACTCACCTTTATCGTACAGTCCATCGCAGCAGCCTCGCAGTCTTTGTCATTTAGTCGTTTTTGTAAATGTAACAGCTGATTTAGCCTCTAACCTCACTTCAATTCATGCAGGGGTGCATTGGCTCTATGGCGCAAACCATTGCAGTTACAATTTTTTGCTCACAGACCATAACCGGATGGCAGGTTTTTTTCTCTCTCTCTCTCTCTCTCTCTCTCTCTCTCTCTCTCTTGCTCTCTCTCTCGAAATTGGGAAGTGAAGTCACACTTAACACTGAAAGCATGAAGCTGCTTCTCATGAAACCAACACTGTCTGCTCAGAAAGAAAAACAAAAAGCTTTCTAGTTTGTGAGTGTATGTGTATGTGTTGGATTAATGCGTGGAATTATACTGATGCAAAGACATATGAGGTCAAAGCCCATAAACTCCCATGTTTTCGTTTGAAACAACAGATTTGTGTGTGTGTGTGTGTGTGTGTGTGTGTGTGTGTGTGTGTGTGTGTGTGTGTGTGTGTGTGTGTGTGTGTGTGTGTGTGTGTGTATTTTTTGCAGTATAGTTTAACCACAGTGAAAATGAAGGGTCATTGAAAAGTTGACAACGTAAGTTGACATGTTTTTTCATTGACAAAGGGTTTGACGTAATAATAATAATAATCATCATCATCATCATCATAATAATCATAATAATAATACAAAATATCTATCAAATTAGCCTTTGTGCTTTCGTATACATGCGTGAGTAAATAGCCTCTACAGGGTTATTTATTGGTATTTGAGCTTAAATAAAAAATCATGAATATGGTTATTTTGAATCTAAATCATTTCAGTGCGTGGGTGCTCAAAAGTTGGTGCAGTTTACCAGGGAGGGGAGATGGGTAAATGTGCAGAAAATGTTTTGAGAAACGCCTATAATTAAATCTGTACTAAGCAGTGTAGCCTGTAGCTTGTTTTATTTTCTTCTATTTTATATTTTTTGTCATTGCATGTCTAATGTTGGGTCAAACTTAATCAAATCAGTATTTGGTGTCTTTAAAACAGCACCAGTTTTTCAGTTCGGTTGTTCTTTGTATCTTGGAGAACCTGCCAGAGTGTCTTCTGTCTCTTCATGTGATCCCAGACTGACTCCATGATGCTGAGATCAGGGCTCTGTGGGGGTCAGACCGTCTGTTGCAGGACTCCTCCTTCCTCTTGTGTCTGACGACAGAAGTTCTCCCCCGATTATCACACTTCTCTAACATCCTCTAACATTGATTAACCATTTCTTTAAAAAAGGATCAAAATCAATGCAGCAGAACCAGAGATATTGTCCTTTATATTCCATACATTCATCTTACTTGTCAAAACCTGTCACCTTCGTTACCCACAATGCAACTTGACCATAAAATGCTGCCTACTTCAGTCAGAGTATTGACACTGACAGATGCTATTTTTCTTTGATACTTTACACTTAAAGCTGATATTTACGTAGGCCTTCATCTACTTGAGAAACATTTTGAATGCAGGGCTTTGTAAAGGACTATAATTTAACATAATGGTACTTATTAAAAGACCTGAATATTTGTTACGTCATTGTAAATTGTTGAAATCCTTTGGAAACAGCTGGGAACATTCAAAAACTAAGTAAGTAGAAAATACTGACTTTTTAAAAAATGACAGAGAGAGATCCTCGGTGAGGATATGAGGGATCAGGCATTACCAGCATGTGAACACAGGTATATGAGCTGGCTGCACTACATTAGATATAGATGTGTTCAATCAACTGATTATGGTTGATTTTTCGAAGTAAATTAAACTATTGATACTTTTCAGGAAGCGTCCGCTCCTGAGTGCCATTAAAACGGTCTTTATTCTCATTTCCGGCTGATCTGGCGCGTTTGTATTCAGCTGACCCCTCAGAGTAATTATCCTTGGCCGATAGCTCGCTGCAGACGGTTGTTAATCACTTCACGTGTTGTGTAACTTTATCCCGGTTGTGTCCTTGTGTTGAGGCGAGGCTCCCAATCACGACTCTCGTCTCCCATCGACGCGCACGATTTCACCCGGCTCCACTTTTCCAGATGGAGCCGGGCCCTCAGTGTGTGTGTGTGTGTGTGTGTGTGTGTTTTCCTCCCTTTCGGAGGAGAATAGCAGAGATGTTTGTTTATACAAGGCCCTGGGCTCGGCCTTATCTGCTGCAGCCACTCACGCTGTGATTTCAGACTTTCTTCAGCAAGTACTTGGGTGTTTTTTTTTTTTACGGGCCATTGTTTTGGCGAATGGTTTCTAAAGATACAGAGTCTTTTTTTTCCTCCCACCTCATTAAAACCTACTGACAAAGCTCTGATTTCAAAAGCATGCACTTCATCCCCACCCAGACTGCGGCTCAGTTATTCAGTCCCGCCTGTCAGACAATCAGAATGACCGCAGCTTTGAAATATGTTAAGGCCATTCAGTGATAGAATAAAAATACACTGATTGATGTTTCCAACCCAGTGAACTATTGTCTTTGTGTCCCATCCTCAATAGGTCTGCAAATGTAGGGACTATTTGATTATGTTTAGGCTTTAAGAAGAGCCCCCTTGATAAAAGGAAGTAGATAAACAATATACTGTAACTGGTGCATGTTGTTCATTATGATATATCATATAGGTACATTTTATGAGACATGCTGCTTTTAGGGATTATAATTATTTTCATTATGAATTAATCAGCTTTTTTTCTTTTATTTATTTATTTTTTGGATTAATTAATTTTTAGAAAATAGTAAAAAAAAAAAAAAGTCATCAAAAATCATGTTATCATTATCTTCAAATGTCTTTTTTTGTCCAATCAACAGTCCAAAGCTGGAGAATAATCAGCTTACAGTTATATGAATGGAAAAAAAGATGAAACTAGAAAAAAAATTGGTATTTTTGCTTGAACAATTAGGCCTACTTAAATGATTACTCGATTAAATTAGTTTTCCAATTAATCTTCTGTCAATCAACTAATCGATTAATGGACTAATTGCTCCAACTCTACCAGTATGTCTTTTTATTTATAATTTTTTTTATAGCTAATTTACACTCCCAAATCCAAAGTCTATTACTACCACTACTTTAAGGGGAAAAAATCACATTAGAGAAGTTTGAAACCTGCAGTGAGGAAATAACTTCAATTTGTTTATTTGTTTGAGTTCTTATGAACATGTGGTGAGGGAGATAGCCTCATTCTCAGTTGTTTTCTCCCCTGTTGATCAATGAGCATTGTCCCTGGAAAAATGAACTAATACAATACAAGTGAATAATCATATATTTTAAAGGTATGGTTTTATCTGTAGGGCTCTGTTTATACAGGGGAACTCAGCAATGAGTCAGTGACATGACTGTGTTGTTCGGAACAGGAGATTTATTGTAGGGACTGTTTTCAGTAGTAAATGTGTCATACATTTACATTTTGGTTTCAGAAAGCACCAAAAAGATATTAGAATAAACAAGCATTTCTTCAAACACTAATGAACTGTTTTACTTTATGAACTTAAACTGACAAACAGTAGGTAATTGTGGCATGTGCAAAAGCTTGGGACCCTACTACTTAATAACCCCCCTTCCAACAAGATACCACAGCTTGCACATGCACCACAGGTCCAGAAGCTCAAGGATTTTTTAACCTCTCTTCCTGGAGATCTCTTTTAAGTCCTGAGATATTTTCAGGTTGTCTTGAACACACACCATGTTTATCTGCCCACAGATCGTCAGGGATGTTCAGGCCAGGGGACTGTGAGGCCCCGTTCCAAAGGCTTCATCTTGTGTTTCTTGAAGTAGCTCATGGTGGATTTTGATGTCTGCTCTGGATCATTGTCCCGATGAAGAAGCCAGCCTCTTTTCAGTTTCAGTTTCTCGACTGACTGCAGGAAATTTGCATCCACAATTTGCTGATATTTAGTGGAATCTATTCTTCCCTCTGTCCGCACGGTGTTTCCTGTGCCACTTGCGGCCACACAACCCCCAAAAGTAGAATATTTCCACCCTCATGCTCAACAGTAGGTAAAGAGGAAGGAATTACATACTGAGTTAGTGCACATGCCACAATCACTGTTTTTTAAGCTCATGACATAAAAAATACCTGTGCATGAATATTTGAAGAAAGGCCCATTTTAATGTCTGTTTGCAGTTTAATGGTTGTGTTTTCTTTTCACTTAAAAATAGACAAAATAAGGATTTTTTCCAACCTTTCACTTATAACTGAGTTAGACTGTACTGTAGCTTTTTTGTTATTATAAATATTATTATTAAGAGTCTGCGGCATTTTCCTCTTTTAGCCTCCATTTTGATTATTAGCTAGCATATATAAACCAGTGAGTGTTGTTTTTTTTTTTTTTTATGAATGAATCTTTGGTTGCTAGGGGGAAGCGATATGGGGGGGGGGGGGGGGTGACGTCACGTGCTGTTAAACAAACGCTGGTCACGACGCAAAGCGGTCACGCGCCCCTCCCACCACCTCCCTACTGCTTTTATAACGGGACCGGTCCGACCGGACACTGGCCACACTGTTGTATAGTAGCGTGTAAACGTCTGGAAAACAGCGACGAATAAAGAGAGAAGGGAAGAAGGTGATGTACTGGGACACTGTCATCAAACCTGGAGACAGACACACAGACAGCAAAGACTCGGAAGTAAAGGTAGGTTTTCACTTGAATTTCATTTATTTTATTTCCTCATTTGAAAATAAAGGAAATAATCCAGAAAATGATTTCATTCATTCTTTGCATCCAGGTTACAGCTTCTGTAGCCTAGTTTATCTTTAATCATT